CAAATCACTAATCACCACACAACTTGCTTGAGCAATGGCAATGTCAAAAGGTAATTCAACCACAACCCACATTGAAGCTCATGAAAACTTGATGACTTATTAGAATATTTTTTATCAGTGTGTATTGTATTGAATTTTTACATCGAAAATTAGTCATCAATAGACAAATCATGTGAAAAACTAGTTTCAGTATGGATACCAACAAAATGTAAATTTACCGACTGACATGTAGTACATCACATGGATACCTTTCATTCTAGCATCAACATTTATTATACCTCTACTTTATTTACTCTATATAAAAGTAATTGGTTAAATAGATTATATCCCCACTTTTGCCTGACTGTGTTTTAGTCCTGTGTGTTAGTCTGGGAACTAAAACACACCAACACTCGTGTATTTCCGCCGAGCCAATCAGGCGAGAGATGGGCGGAGCTTGCTACCGAATTTGGAAGTGACGCACGAGGTGGGCGGAGCTTGCTACCGAACTTGGAAGCATTTGGCTCCATTGCCATCAAAGGGGTAGTTGGGACATGAAGCTATACAGCTGATTGTTTACAAATATTTTCTAGTTTAAACCATCTCTGCAGTGTGTATCGGTATATAGCAAGTTTCTGGTGTCCCTTGACCATGCCTATTTCCCTCGGCTTTGCCACGGGAAATATACCTGGTCTCGGGACACCAGAAACTTGCTATATCCCTAAACCCCATACTTTAACTGTATATTATCAAATTATTATAGATTATCTGCAGACCAAGCTCATTCCTTAGAAACTGACCAAGTTTATCTGTTGACCTGTATCACAGAGAAACTGACCCCACCTTTTTCCCCATTGTCATAAAGAGTCTGACCAAACTAACCCATACACTAGGCTTCCTATATTGTTATACTACTCTCAAACCCCTCTTGACAACAGCTTGACTCCCATCCACCCCCCTCTACCAACAAATATATTTTTTGTTTTGTAATTGCGATCAAAGAACAGTCTAGTTCACTGACCAATATAAGGGAGGTCACTGACCAATATAAGGGAGGTCACTGATCAATATAAGGGAGGTCACTGGCCAATATAAGGGAGGTCACTGACCAATATAAGGGAGGTCACTGACCAATATAAGGGGTGATCTATAGACACTACGATTGACTCAGGACTCGATATGTTTGTATCGCGGAGATCAATACAGCTTATGGAGGGACATACATTTCTCTGAAGTCTCGGACACATTACAGAGGGAGATAGGTCTCTCCTAGGGTGAGGGAGAATGGAGAAGCTAGTAAATACCATTAAAACGCTGGAATATCAGCTGGACTTACTAATTTGATTGCCATTGCGACCAAGGAAAATTAGCCTTTATCTACAAGGCTTACAGCAGTTTCATGAGAATGACATTGGTAAATCTCATCTGTATTAAGTCATCCAAGATACCAGGGTCGTAAAATAACAATTTATTAATCATTGATGCATCAACATTCCTGCACTAGATCTCTCAGACAGCAATGTCATCACAACATATATGACTTTAACATCAGAATTTGTCTCTTACCTATATTGAAACTGGACATATTAAGGATACATTCTTCAGATAATTTGGTGTAAATGTATGTATTTGTAAAAGTCTTTGTTCTTTCAAATCTGTATATCAAGTCCAATTTGGACCAAAAGTTAATTTCCATGTATTGCCATGGTAAAATTTGATTAATTTGGATAATAGAATTTTCCCCATAGATCCGTAATAGAATAAGCCCTCCTTGGCATTGGCAATGCTATAGCATCAAGGGCTGTTCTATTAATTGTGATGTGGCATCAAGATTATTACTACACTAGTTCTAGGTTGTGGCACTAAAGGCTGTTTTGTTCCTGGTAATAAGATGTGGCACCAAGCAATGTTCTATTTCCAGATCTAGGTTGTGGCACCATTAAGGGCTGTTTTGTTACTGGGGCTAGGTTGTGGCACCATTAAGGGCTGTTTTGTTACTGGTGCTAGGTTGTGGCAACATTAAGGGCCTTTTTGCTACTGGTACTAGGTTGTGGCACCAAGGGTCGTTTTGCTAATAGTACAAAGCTGTGGCACCAAGGGTCGTTTTCCTTATAGTACAAAACTGCGGCACCAAGGGTCATCTTGCTCCTAGTATTAGGCTGCAGCACCAAAGACTTTTTTGCTACTGGTACTAGGTTGTGCCACCAAGGGCCATTTTGCTATTGGTACTAGGTTGTGGTACTAAGAACAGTTTTATTACTGGTGATATGCCATAGAATGCTAAACATGTCTATCACTTCTAAAAAAAAAAATGAGTTTCCATTATTTCAAAAACAATATATCTTATTTCAAATAGCTGTTTACCCTAGGATATAATAGTTCAAATACAAAGATGAAATGTCTTCCTATACAATTGCATGTAGGGAATACGTTATCCTCAGCTACAGGGACTGTCCCCAACATAACACTGTCATAACGCTGTCTGTCACCTAGGCAATGCCTGATGTAGCCTAGCTCTGTATGCATATAATAGGACAGGGAGTAAAGACTTCTTATTCCTGTCAAACAAACTATTTTAATAGGATCTAATTCACATTCTTAAAAGAGTGATTCTTGCTTAAAAGTGTTTATGGAACTGAATTTGTAAATATTTTTAGTTAAAAGAGTTTTTCAGAAGGGAAATAAAAATCCAATGCAATGTTTCCATGAACATGTATCATATTGATCAGGACAGAGGAAATTGCAATCATTTATCATTTATTGTCCAATTCACTACAATGTTACCAATAAAACTACTACTTAATACTTGGCTGGTATCAGGTTACCCTCTGTGCTTCCTGGAAATAATACAACCATGGCCAGGTTCTTAGCTCAATGACAGACTATACCAGGTTCTAGCCTGTCCTGAACCCTCAACATCTACAGACTACCCCAGGTTCTAGCCTGTCCTGAACCCTCAACACTGACAGATTACACCAGTTTCTAGCCTGTCTTGAACACTCAACACAGCCAGACTACACCAGGTTCTAGCCTGTCCTGACCCCTCAACATCTACAGACTCCACCAGCTTCTAGCCTGTCCTGAACCCTCAACATCTACAGACTACCCCAGGTTCTAGCCTGTCCTGAACCCTCAACATCTACAGACTACCCCAGGTTCTAGCCTGTCCTGAACCCTCAACATCAACAGATTACACCAGGTTCTAGCTTGTCCTGAACACTCAACACAGACAGACTACACCAGTTTCTAGCCTGTCCTGGACCCTCAACATCAGCAGACTACACCAGGTTCTAGCCTGTCCTGGACCCTCAGCACAGTCAGACTACACCAGGTTCTAGCCTGTCCTGAACCCTCAACATCTACAGACTACCCCAGGTTCTAGCCTGTCCTGAACCCTCAACATCAACAGATTACACCAGGTTCTAGCTTGTCCTGAACACTCAACACAGACAGACTACACCAGTTTCTAGCCTGTCCTGAACCCTCAACACTGACAGATTACACCAGTTTCTAGCCTGTCTTGAACACTCAACACAGACAGACTACACCAGTTTCTAGCCTGTCCTGAACCCTCAACACTGACAGACTACACCTGAGGTTCTAGCCTGTCCTAAACCCTCAACACTGACAGATTGCACCAGGTTCTAGCCTGTCCTGAACCCTCAACATCTACAGATTACACCAGGTTCTAGCCTGTCCTGATCACTCAACACAGACAGAATACACCAGGCTCTAGCCTGTCCTGATCACTCAACACAGACAGAATACACCAGGTTCTAGCCTCTCCTGAACCCTTAACACAGACAGACTACACCAGGCTCTAGCCTGTCCTGGACCCTCAACACTGACAGATTACACCAGGTTCTAGCCTGTCTTGAACACTCAACACAGACAGACTACACCAGGTTCTAGCCTGTCCTGGACCCTCAACATCAGCAGACTACACCAGGTTCTAGCCTGTCCTGGACCCTTAACACAGACAGACTACACCAGGCTCTAGCCTGTCCTGGACCCTCAACACAGACAGACTACACCAGGTTCTAGCCTGTCCTGGACCCTTAACACAGACAGACTACACCAGGCTCTAGCCTGTCCTGGACCCTTAACACAGACAGACTACACCAGGTTCTATAGCCTGTCCTGGACCCTCAACACAAACAGACTACACCAGGTTCTATCCTGTCCTGGACCCTCAACACAGACAGACTACACCAGGTTCTAGCCTGTCCTGATCACTCAACACAGACAGACTCCACCAGGTTCTATAGCCTGTCCTGGACCCTCAACACAGACAGACTCCACCAGGTTCTATAGCCTGTCCTGGACCCTCAACACAGACAGACACCACCAGGTTCTAGCCTGTCCTGATCACTCAACACAGACAGACTACACCAGGTTATTTGCAAATCACAACAGTAACTAATACCTTTTGATATCCACTTGAAACCAGTTTGAATTGGAAACATGCAATAAAAACAATGTTATTTCCAACTTTCATGCCACAAATACATTAAACTGAGTGTCTGAAGCTAAATTGAATTTCAAAATATGGTAAATATTGAAAAAGTTGCCACCTGCATTTGTGCATGCTTGGAGTAAATGAAGCTAGGAGAGCCACTTTACTAATAGATGATGACAAGGGAAGCACTCAGCAGCAATGCACCGACACGAAGACGTGTTCGTTGTAGCAAACAACATGTACGGAAGTTTGAAATGTTTTTTAATTTGAATGACCATGACTTAATTAATAAATTGAGTAAAGGAACAAATGCAGCATTTTATAGTGTACAGTAATTTTGTAGTGTTCAGTAACTACATTAATTTTGTAGTGTACTATTCCTACTTGTTGATTTATCTGAAATTTTCTTCAATAATTCAGCAATAAGTCGATTTATCTGAAATTTTCTTCAATAATTCAGCAATAAGTCTTTAAAACTCCTTCCCCCTCTTTTTTCAACAGACAGCTAGGTTTCAAACTGTGACACGAACAATTGATATATTAGTAAAACTATGTGACTTACTGTGGAATCCTGGGATGACGATCCCACCATTTCCTGCAGAGCCCTGACCGAAAGAGCCTGCTCCAGTACAAATGCACATACTGATATATCTGGTGGAGTGTCCTGCAAAAATAAAACACAATATTATAAAAAATGCCTTAGTTTGATGTAGGATGATGGCAACATGGCAAGATGATTAAGGTAGGACTGAGGAAATATTGTCATCAGTTAGTAATGGTCGGACAGACATTTTCTTTTTCTCTCTACTATTCAAAGTTAAAATCAGGTGGTGTCCTAATACTTTTGATAATTGTCGGTTTGTAAATCAAACAAAATTAATAGAACGTGGCTTCAAATCAGTGATTTTTTTTGTTCAATTTTATTTCCATAGAAAATAGTATGGCTTTTTTCCCAATTGGCAATGTTTGTTCACAAATCCGAAAATCAAAATTACAAATTCTTTTATTGAAAATTTTTGGATTCATGTTATCTATAAATCTATATAACCATTTACTAAACAAAGGATTTCCAGTCTACAAATGGTATTGAGACAAAAAAACACTTTTTTAGTTCAAAACCTTTAGCATGTCCGGTCCAAACAGCCTTTATTCAAACCTCAGAATATATTCTGATAAAGGCTGGTAACTAGTGGTAGACATTCATACTTCAGAATATATTCTGATAAAGGCTGGTAACTAGTGGTAGACATTCATACTTCAGAATATATTCTGATAAAGGCTGGTAACTAGTGGTAGACATTCATACTTCAGAATATATTCTGATAAAGGCTGGTAACTAGTGGTAGACATTCATACTTCAGAATATATTCTGATAAAGGCTGGTAACTAGTGGTAGACGGACAAGTTTGCCAATACACAAGTCAGTGATCAAACCATTATAAAACATCAAATCCATCAAACATGTAAATAGTTTTGACTCCTGTATGTTTACAGTTATGATAGGACACAGAGATTTGGGCTGCTGGCCCTGGGCCGCCCGACACATCTATCAATACGATAAATGGAGCGGGGAGGATAGAAAAATGCTAATGTCATTTGTAGTTTGTATTTTCATCCTTGGAGAATTCCATGCATGGAATAAAACAGAATAAAAAGTATATCTAAATACTGGTCATCGGTCAATGTCAGGACCGGGATATACAGACCTAAGAGGTCTCAACGGTAATAAGACACGAGAGTCCGTGACAACTGATGGAGCTAGCCGATGACAGTTATTAGAGCACTAACACGTCATCAGTTCTATACACGAGTGACTCAGATTATGTCAACATCTTTTAAAAAAGATGTCGATGTATGTAACTCATAAGTTGAAATCAATGACCTACATAACTGTCAATCTTATAAGATTCTGATTAAAATGTGGTTTTATTATTCATACTGAGAGATACTAACTTGTTTGTATGTTTGAGTGGTTTTATGTCAGCTTCACTATGAACTACTGAGTACCCAGGTAGTCTGGTTATCCAGCAGACGAGATATTAACAGAAACTGTACTACTACTAGTATATATGAAGCAGTATCAATGCAACCTGCATGGAAATTTCACATTTGACAAAATAAAACTTTTTTTCCCCTGACTGGCGCTATGGATTACATTTTTACAGCTCTCTGAATGTCTTGGAATCATTTGGGTAGTAATGACCTTGTGAGAAAGAACACATGATTTAATTTAGTTTATTGAGTGTGAAAGATCATTTCATTCAGGTGAAACTGATTGCTCAGAAGTATAATATTTAACACCTCCATACTTTTCCTATCAATAAGCAATGTTGTCAGATATATGATCAGTGACAATACCAGCACTAATGGTTGGGCTATGGTGCTATATGCAGGACCTAATGGCGGACAGCCAACAACATGTGCACACAGGCGCACCAATATATTGGTAGCAGCTGTTTATTACGCACTTCTTTCACTGTCCTGAGAGGCTCCTACAGATCCTCTAATGAATTGCCCTAGTTACCCTATTGGCCAGCCTGTACCTGATGATACCTCTAGACACACCAGGATCACCTCCCACTTGTAACAAACATCTCAATTAGGCTTTTTTCCTAAATTTCATGATTTCCCATTAAGTTAATACATTGTATTGCATGAGATTTTCATTACCATCAGATTTTGTGGAGCCAGGTGTTCAAGGCTCTAAACCCTTTAACAAATAAATATACATGTATTTGGTTTAAACATCTACATTACTATCAATATGAGGTGCATATACAATTTTATGAAGTATTATTATACAACCTTTGTACAGCATTTTATTTAATCTCATCGTAATCTCATAAGGTATTTAATATTCAAGTTATGACTGACATGATATTCAATTTTAACCTGACTTTTTACAGCCTTTTTTAACATCAACCAGCCAGCATTGTCACCCCTTCCTGTTCCATCAATAAGCTGGCTATGTCACTTTCTAGCTGTCATTTCAACAATAAGCTGTCTTTGCCACTTCCTGTCATTCCATCAACAAGCTGGCTATGTCACTTCCTGTCATTCCATCAACAAGCTGGCTATGGCACTTCCTGTCATTCAATATAATCAGTTCATGTCATTCCATCAACAAGCTGGCTATGTCACTTCCTGTCATTCTATCAACAAGCTGGCTATGTCACTTCCTGTCATTCTATGTAGTTAGTTCATGTCATTCCATCAACAAGCCAGCAAGGTCACCCCTTCCTGTTCCATCAACAAGCTGGTTATGTCACTTCCTGTCATTCTATGTAGTCAGTTCATATCATTCCATCAACAAGCTGTTATGTCACTTCCTGTCATTCTATGTAGTCAGTTCATACCATTCCAGCAACAAGCTGGTTATGTCACTTCCTGTCATTCTATCAGCAAGCTGGCTATATCACTTCCTATCATTCTATGTAGTCAGTTCATGTCATTCCATCAACAAGCCAGCAATGTCATCCCTTCCTGTTCTATCAACAAGCTGGTTATGTCACTTCCTGTCATTTTATGTAGTCAGTTCATATCATTCCATCAACAAGCTGTTATGTCACTTCCTGTCATTCTATGTAGTCAGTTCATATCATTCCAGCAACAAGCTGATTATGTCACTTCCTGTCATTCTATCAGCAAGCTGGCTATGTCATTTCATGTCATTCTATTAAGTCAATTCATATCATTCCAGCAACAAGCTGGTTATGTCACTTCCTGTCATTCCATCAACAAGCTGTTATGTCACTTCCTGTCATTCTATCAACAAGCTGGCTATATGTCACTTCCTGTCATTCCATCAACAAGCTGGTTATGTCACCTCCTGTCATTCTATGTAGTCAGTTCATATCATTCCATCAACAAGCTGTTATTCTATCAGCAAGCTTGCTTTGTCCCTTCCTGTTATTCATCCCTACCATCTCCAACACCTTTGCTATAGGTTGTTCTTGGTCTTCCACTGTGATGTAGGGACATGCTCAAAGAGGTGTTTTAAAACTTTTCTCAAATTATTTCAAAACAAACACTTTATCCTCATATAATGTCAATCACCCTACTCCATCTACCTTCAAGTGTAGAATTTGACTTGCTTACTTATTCCCCATCACTAAAGTTGCAGGCAAAAGAATATGTCTTGATGCTGATATTAGACACAGACACACAATAAAACTGGTGTCTGTATTAAAATACTTTAATTAAGAAATTAAATTTCAATTACATTAAATAAAACCCCTTGAAGCTGCTATTATAGAAGGCCTGAGGATGTGAAACTAGGCACACCTCCAAGATTTATAATGTATAATTGGTATCTACAAAGGGTACTGTACCTGGTTACTGATTCACCTGACAAGCATAAGCACTAGTCTGTTAAATTAATGGATAAAGCAGCAAGCTCAGCGTTGTATGGATGACCCACATGTCTGAATTCATTGGAGAACATGTTTTCTAAGAAGGTTTGCAGCAAACACTATCACAAGGGTTAGACTGTCTGGGATTTCTGTTGAACATGTATTGCCGGTAATCACACACCTCAGTGGAATATGATGTCAGATCTACATTGAGTATATATTGTAAGATCCCTGTGGAGTATATTGAGGACAGAGTCAGTTTTTAGTTTTTGCTACATTAGCATATATGTAAATTAGACAATTTGACAATATGACAATTTGTCTTTTAATGAAAACCATAATGGGTGAAGCACGGAATATATTTCGTGCTTCTGTGATAATTTTATTGTAATTGTATTGAACAACCGTTTAAATTATGAAATAACTATGATATGAATTGCTGTTTTAGTAGACCAACAATTATTTTATGTACATTTATTTGCTGTGATACTACTTTGTCTTTTAACTAACCAATTTTACTAACAGAGGACCCTGTGGAAGATTAGCTTTGCTAAACAGGTTTTGTATCCTCAATAAATAAAGTTTATTATTATTATTATTATTATTAGTATATATGTCAAATTGTCAAATTCCATGAAGCATGCCGGTACTTTTCATTCAACTTTCTCTTTGCAGTCATAATAGCTATAAATGCCAAATGAAAGCAGTAAATATGAATTGATGTACCAAAATCAGCATTTTGTTAAAGAATTATGTAAAGGTTATTGTTTATAAGTAGAACAGTCATTTTACAGGGAGGGAAAGAGACATCCAATGTTACGCTTATGACTTCAATGATGAAACCAACACCTGGGAGCTATGACATTCATAGCGTATATAGATGCCATCGGAATTAAGTAGAGTTATACAGCGACAATGTGGTATATATTGAGCAGTATTCACTTCCAAAAGTTTAATAACATACCCATTTTTCCCTCTTTAAATTTCATTTTTGCCCTGAACAGATGGCGGTGCTGTAACCAACAGACATATGAGATATGTCTATATCAGGTGATCCAATATCTAGATATAGTTGTCTGAATAGGACAGTAGCTCATTTCTCTGCCCTGCTGGTACCCTCCTAGGGGAGGGCTAAAAACTGTTTTTCCATGTGTTTTCTATATACACAAATAAAACAACCAAATTATTGTGTACTGGAGCTCGTCTACTTAATGGCACTTTTACATACAATATATACATCCTCTATCTCTTCATTATTCCGGTTTTTATCCTGATAAAATAGATGCTGCCAGTGCTTCTTTATGCAAGTGAC